ATATATATATACAGTGGTGGCCAAAAGTGTGGACACTTTTTGAAAGTTTCATGTTTTTCAACTTTGTGTGCTTGTAGAATATATTAATTTTCACTTAAATACAAACGTTTATATATCAAATTGAAGGTAATTTAATGTAGAATTTAATAATAAATACAGTATTACAATATCTGTATTACAAAAAAGGTTATGCAACAAATAGTCAGATGTATCTTAGATTTGAATTTTTTTAAAGTGATACTTGCACAATCAATACTTAGTAGGATAACCCTTACTTTTTAAGACAGCTTCACAGCATCTTTTCATCGAGTGAACGAGTGTTTGGAGTTCATCTTTCGTAGCCACATGGTGCCAAGAATCAATTATAGCTTCAATAAGTTGTCTTTTATTGGATGGATGTATTTTTCGTACAAGAATTTTCAAACATCGCCACAAATTTTCAATTGGATTGAGATCAGGGGTGTTTCCTGGCCATGGCAATATATCTGCCTTTATTTTGAAAGCATGCTTTGCATACTTTTGCTGTGTGGCATGGAGCTGAATCCTGCTGAAAAATAAATGGTGCTTTGTTGGAGAAGAGATCCCTGATTGAAGGTATCAATTTTGGTTTCAGGGCAGTTTCGATGTATTTTTCAATTTGATATATAAACGTTTATATTTAAGTGAAAATTAATATATTCTACAAGCACATGAAGTTGAGAAACATGAAACTTTCAAAAAGTGTCCACACTTTTGGCCACCACTGTATATATGTATAATATACCTTAAATATAATCTTAAAATTGTTGTCAATATGACTCGGTTGTCAAAATGTAAGTTTAACTATTTTAACATCTGGTACAATTATTTCTTGTAAAATTACCTCGTATTAACTGAATTGTCACAAAATTCTTACTTGATGTTTTGTTTTTGACACAGAATCTAATATTTGATACGTTAGAAAAGAAAAAATCAAATTTTCTGATGAAAGATGATCTAGAACTATGTTGTAATTTACCTGAAATTATAAGGAAGATTTGGAATTTTATTTTTGAAATTAAATAGGAACCCTGGACGTGTCTATTTTTTAAATAATTTTCAGTATGTGTTTTATATCTAAAAGTAGAAAAAAAATGTGTAATCTTTAAATGCATTGACCATACTCAGTAGGGAGTTTTAATTATGGGAATTCACATGTTTATATAGGTTGTGTTTTTCTACGACTCATTCACTGTTATCTAGAAGTAAGTAGAAGTTAAGTGTTAACTTAACTCACATAGAAAAATTATAACTCACATAGAAATTCTATCCTGGCTCCAGAGCAGGACTGAACTCTAGATTAAAACTTATCTAGAGATTGTTTATCAAATTTAATAATAAAAACTAGATGGAAATGTTAGTCGAAATTTTATTTTACTTTAAATATGTATATAAGTAAAAAAAATAATTATTAATAGTTTAAAAAATATTGTTTTTATGTACTAACTCGTTTATTATTTAACTTTTTAAAATTCTTTCAACATTGTTATTGCATTATAGGTGGTGGAGGCGGCGGTGGCTCCAGAGCTTGCTTTAAATGTGGTCAGGAAGGCCATATGTCTAGAGACTGCACAGAAAGTGGTGGTGGCGGTGGCAGAGGAGGTGGCTCCAGGGCATGTTTCAAATGTGGCCAAGAAGGCCACATGTCAAGAGACTGTACAGAAAGTGGTGGTGGAGGCGGCGGTGGCTCCAGAGCTTGCTTTAAATGTGGTCAAGAAGGCCATATGTCTAGAGACTGCACAGAAAGTGGTGGTGGCGGTGGAAGAGGAGGTGGCTCCAGGGCATGTTTCAAATGTGGTCAGGAAGGCCATATGTCTAGAGACTGTACAGAAAGTGGTGGTGGAGGAGGAGGCGGCGGTGGCTCCAGAGCATGTTTCAAATGTGGTCAGGAAGGCCATATGTCTAGAGACTGTACAGAAAGTGGTGGTGGTGGAGGCGGCGGTGGCTCCAGAGCTTGTTTTAAATGTGGTCAAGAAGGCCATATGTCAAGAGACTGTACTGAAAGTGGTGGTGGAGGCGGCGGTGGCTCCAGAGCTTGCTTTAAATGTGGTCAAGAAGGCCATATGTCTAGAGACTGTACAGAAAGTGGTGGTGGCGGCGGAGGAGGAGGAGGCTCCAGAGCATGTTTTAAATGTAATGAAGAAGGCCATCAAGCTAAAGACTGCACTAAAGAAGTACTTGGTGAAGATGGTGTGTTATTTTGATTTTACAAAACAAAATATTTTCTCAATTTTTTTTTAAAATTATATATTACTTGAAAATATGTATTACCCACATTTATGTACAGGTTCCTATGCACCTTAATTGTGTTTAACTTTGTTTCACAAAAATTAAGTATTTACGGTTCTTACTTTTTATTTTTTATTTATTTATTTTTTTTTTTGAGAAGAAATTAATTAGATTTAAAAAAAATTAAAGATTTTTTTTAGTAAAATGCTANATATATTACTTGAAAATATGTATTACCCACATTTATGTACAGGTTCCTATGCACCTTAATTGTGTTTAACTTTGTTTCACAAAAATTAAGTATTTACGGTTCTTACTTTTTTTTTTTATAGAAGAAATTGATTAAAGATTTTAAAAAAATTAAAGATTTTTTTTAGTAAAATGCTACGCAATGCAAATTTAAAATTTTATTTATAGTTTTTTTTTACTAGTTTAATTTCAGTGGGAATTGATGTCAATTTTAAATCACTTTTTCTGACATTTAGGCATGAATTTTCAAATTCCATTATTTTTAATTAGTATGTTATTAGGAAATGCAAATTTCAAATTGAAGTAATTTATTTGAAAATCTAATTTTGGCATGTTTGATTGCACACCAATTTTTTTTTTTTTGTTGGTTGATTCCCTCCCCCCCCTTTTTTCTCCTTCAAATTCGTTCTCTTTAACATGATTGCTTTGAAAAGATTCCATTCCATCATAATTTCACGATGTACAATGGTGTATTTGTTGCTGTTCTGGCATGGTTTTCTAATTTCAATATTTTTGATGCGATGTTTCAAATTTGAGTTGTCACTTTTTGACACTCCATTAAATGGCTATTAGTTAACCCATGTACGTCTTCTATCGGTTTTCTGTACATTTCCACAAAGTTAATAATTTTTTGTAAGTTACAAATTTTTTCTTGAGACATTGAATTTTAATAATAACGGTATTACGACATAAAAGTTTAACTTTGAGTAATTTTTTTGGCGTTAGATTCCATTGTAAATCCTCAGTTCTTACACATTTCCACATTGTTTTTCAAATTCTACTATTTTTAATTAGTGATGTCATTACGATTTAGGAATTTCAAATTTGAGTAATAACTGTTAATGATTTATTCGTTATCGCTTTTAGTTTTAAATGCTGACAATTCACCACTATTAGTTTTAATTAACAGTTCACTTGTTTGTATTACGTCCTGATTCTGCCATATTTTTGCTGTTTCCACCTATTTCTGAGAATTTATTCCTTTTTAATGTATTACTCAGAAAGATTCCATTGAAATTTCATGCCTTCTAATAATTTTACTGGCCTTTTTTTGTTGGGTTTTAATACAATATTGCGCCCCAGAAATTTTGAATTTGATTAGTGGAATGTTAATGAGCTCGATTCTATCATAAGCTCATGTCGTCATCTTTTTGCCTTTTCAATAACTTTCAAATTCCAGTATTTTTAATTAGTACAAGGTGCATAGAGCGTTTTTAAAAAGTGCTTGAAGGTGCTTTTGTCATTGGGTGTACCTAATGAGATTTTTTCTTTAGCATGTAGTTTTTCATCACGAATTAATCAAAAGCATGGTTTCTCACATTTTTTTACTCAATGCTTTCATAATTCTTTCAATTCATTTTGGTGTACAGTCCGTCTGTAGAGTATATAAGTGCCAATCATTTTACATGCTTGAAAAAATACTTTCGTGTTTGCATGTGCATATACTGAACTGGATTTGATGTGAGAAGGATTATTACACTCTCATGAGCAACTCTGCAGCATTTTACAAGAAATTCTCATTTTCTGCCCTCTGGAATCAAATTGAAAATTTATCCAATATTTGCTGATCACAGGGACCAGCTGAAAATTAAGATTATTTTGTCTAAAAGCACAGGAAATTTTTATTTCTCTTAATTTTATTGTTGGTAAAGATTTGGGGATTATGCATTATCATTGAAGTTGGTTCCCAGAGCAGTAAAGAACCACAGATTATTCATTCCTCAAAATTTTCATCTCCCTTTTATTAATTTAATAAAAATCAGAATTTAATTTTTCAGCTTTTGATCATCAAAACCCAATAACAGTAAAAATAAAATTTAATCCTAAGGCTTTCACTTGAGGGACCATCCACTAATTGCATAAAATATCGGAAACTTTTATTGTACATAATACTTTTTTTTTTCTTTTTTTTTACATTTTATTATTGTATTTTAAAATTTCCTATCCTAAGCTGTTTTAGGAAGAAGCTGAATATTTAGAGGCCAGATTTTGAAAAATCATGAAGTTATCTTTCACTTTTAAAAAATCTAATGTTCAGATTTGTTATCCTAAAAAACTTTTAATTGTCTGAATAGTGAGTCCAATCTCATTTACTGTGTTAATAAAATACTCAACTTTGAATGTATGTTAAGTCAGAGTATATGATTAAAGACTAAGGTGTTATGACTTAGCTTAAATTTTATGAATGAATTTCATGCATGTATTACTGTAATTAAATGAATTAAGGTTTATTTTTTAATTTGAATAGGAAAGCCAAGACCACCTCCATATATACCACCTGAACCAACAGATGATGCAGATACACTTTTTCAAGGAGTGCCCACAGGAATTAATTTTTCAAAATATGATGACATCCATGTGGATGTTTCAGGAAATAAACCTCCCTCACATATTGACTCATTTGAAACTTCTGGCTTGAACAGACATCTGCTACAAAATGTAGCTCACTCAAAATACACAAAGCCAACACCTGTACAAAAGTATGCTATTCCAATTATACTTGGTAAAAGAGATCTTATGGCCTGCGCACAAACTGGATCTGGGAAAACTGTAAGTTTGTACATATTTTGGCAGTTTAATGTAAATTGAGAATACACTAACTTCTAACTAATGTGCTCTATAAAGTATAATGTACTATAGTAACAGAAAGAATTAATGTAAATTTTTCTTTACATTAAATACATACTGATATATGACAAGTGTGCATGAGACCTTACATGTAAGTTATCAAACTAGTTATTTTAATATGTATAGTTCTTGGAAATGTTTTTACATTTTATATATTTTACGTTTAAAATTGAAAAACTTGTAACAATTAGAAAAAATTATTGCTATGCATATCCTTATTTTTTTTAAAGAAAATATTGATTAAAATTTTATTTTGAGTGCATATTAGATGCTCATTTTTTGTTAAAATTTTATTACGGACCTGGATAATAACTTTGGCATGCTAAAAGTTTTAAATTTGTTTTTTTTCTACAGTCACACATCTGAATATCCCTTCCTTCATTGGAAGTGTCTATTTTCGGACACTTTTTAACAATAAAAAATCTTTTTACCCTTTTACTAATTTTTTTCTTAGCTGCTATACTTATTGCTAGACATTTATTCTGCCTCAATAAGCTGACTATAAGAGCTGTTAAGACATGAGCAGTTAAAGGTAAATTTCGCGAATGATTTTTTCTACTGGAAAGAAAATATATTTTAATCAATCTTTAAAATAAAGTCGAATGGAATTTTTCTGAAAAATCTTTTCTAGTCCAGATTTTGAAATAGGACTTTCCACTGTACATTTTAGGAAATCTCGTTGAAAAATTTTCTAGAATTAGCTGAATGGTAACGTTACCAATTCAATTTTTTGTAGAAACTAGTAAGAACTTAACATATAATTTGCTATAATCTTAATTACTAAGTCTTTTACATAAACTGTCATGAACATAAAAAATTCTCCCCTAATCTATGACTAACTTAATACATCTAGAGTGTGTTTATTTAAGATAGTTTTTAATTTTTAGAGTAAACAATTATGCAATTGATCTGAGTGCAGTAAAATTCATTTGTTTTATTAAACAGTGTACTGTTAATTTAGTCTAAATTTCTAATACCCTTTCACATAACTGTAATATTTATTGAGCTTAAAATGAGCTTTATTTTTAAACCTTCATTTTATTCATAATTTACTTACACATAAAAATAAATGTTGACTAAATTAAATTATTTGTTTTAATAGCATGAAGTTCTCGCTCCATTCACTAAGATAATGCAGCACTATTAAAGGCATGTGATTCTTTCACTAATTAGCGAAATCCTGCAAATCTCAAGACTGTTTATTTGCCAACGTCCTCGAATCAATAATTTATATTCCTACACAGTGTTCCCGGAGCTCTGCTAATCTAAAATTTAAATTATGTTACACAAAATCTCGATGTGATATTTATTCTGTTACTAACAAAAACCCTTTATCTTCCTAAGTTTTCATTCACTATAAAAAAAAATTTTATGCAGATTTTTTTTGAGAACTTAACTGGAAAAAAAAAAGATCCAGAATGAATTCTGCTAGAATTAATGAACTACTGAGGCAAACACTTTAAAATGAGTTTTATTTTGAAACCTTCATTAAGTTTTTTTTTTATTGGCAGCTATTGCTGTTTCCCCCCCCCNTGTCCCCTCCCAATGTGATGCTGGAAATCCAAATCGCACACCTGATTATTCACTACTAGACGCAGAAATTCTATAGTTTTAAATTTTCCGACAGTTATCACGACTGATTTGAGGTTTACTCACAAGGAGCCGAATAGAAGGAATAAGTATTTCTTTATATATGTGTATTATATTTGTTAAAAAGAAAAATTATTAAACAAATTTTTCTTCCTCTTTTTAAATTTTATATATGCTTTATGCATAAAGATGAGTTTTATTTATCTATGTGCAAAAAAAATAAATAAAAAGTACTTAAAAAGAATTTAGCAATCTCATGTCTGTTATTAGTTTTAAATATATATTAAGCTCTTTAATCTTTAGATTCCATATAAAAACCCATAAAAAATTTTATATTGAAGCATGGATTTAAATATAATTAAAAATCTTGTCCTGTGTCAGCATTGCTACATTAATATTATATGTATTTTTGTTATTTGCTACATTAATATTGTATAAATGTTACTTTTTAGGCTGCTTTCTTACTACCCATGCTTCATAACATGATTACTGATCCAGACCTTCCAAATAATGCAGATAAAATGACACAAGAACCCTGGGCTGTCATAGTTGCACCTACTCGAGAATTAGTTATTCAAATAGGATCAGAAGCTAGAAAGTTTGCTTATGATAGTGTAATAAAAGCTGATGTTTTGTATGGTGGTACCTCAACTGGTTATCAGTCGAACAGGATTAAGAAAGGTTGTCATCTTCTCGCTGCCACACCGGGACGGCTTTTAGATTTTGTTGAAAAAGAAAAGGTAAGTAGGCTAGGTTTTATCAAGGGTGGCGTTGTTTTTGTCGACAATAACATTTTAATCGATCTCATATTCATCTCATATCATAATTCCTGTCTTGTATGAATTTCTATGAAATTTTATTATTGCATTGGTATTAATGACAGAAATTGCGACAAGCTAGGTCAGATATGTAAATGAAACAAAAAGCATCTAAACAAAACTACAATGTAAGCTAAGGACTAAGCTAGTTTTTCTTCCTCTCCCATGGATAAATCTTAGAAAAGCTGTTACTGTCTTTTTCCAGCCATTTCTCTCTCCCTCGCTTAATTTATTAGCCAAAAATCCAAATTTATTAGAAATCGTAGGAGCTTTTGATAGAGATCCATAATTTGTTAGGGTTAAAGCAGTAGCTTTTAAAATTTATGAGAATAAAAAGTTTTCTTAAATCATGGAATTTGCATGCGCATGGAATCGTGGAATGCGCATGGAATTGACCACAAATTTTGTGGTGATTATTTCGTGGTGTTATCTTGAAGAGAAAAAAAATTTTTTTTTTGATCAATTAACATGTCTTTCTGATTTTCATTTTTTAAAGAATACTTTTTTTTTCTTTCATAAATCTTTATTTTGCAGTAAAAATTGACAATTGCATTTTTTTTAGCATGTTAAGCATAGTGCTTTGAGATTAATATTTTTGTTTTACCTTTTAAAAAAGACTACAATGAGACAGAAGATCATTATGTGCTCCTAGAAAATATTAGCAATTTTATCAATTTGTAAAAACTTTTATTTTGCAAATGTTTTTTTTTTGTTGTTTGTTTTTGTTTATTACTGCTACCAAAATAGAGAGAGGGGAAAATCTTTTCATGTGTGCTATTGCATATAGCTATATATAGTCTATATATAGCTATATATAGTGTGGAGCTATATATTTTGTATTGTGTATTTTAAAATGTCTCTAGTTGCTCATTCATCTTGCAAATCATTTCAGGTTTCATTTTCCCAACTTCGATACTTGGTTTTGGATGAAGCAGATCGAATGTTAGATATGGGTTTTGCTCCAGCTATTCGTAAAATGGTTGAGCATCCCTCTATGCCTGAAAAGGGAGCTCGTCAGACTCTCATGTTCAGTGCTACATTTCCCGAGGACATCCAAAGAATGGCTGCTGAGTTCCTTCATGACTATTTGTTTTTAACAGTTGGTATGGTTGGTGCTGCTAATGCTGATGTGCTACAGACTTTCTTCAAATTAGGACAATTTGATAAGCGTCAACAATTGTTAGATATTTTAAAAAATGTTGGTAGGTGATTTTTTTTTGTTGTGCTAAAAGCAAAATAAGGCTGTTAAACTACTTTATATACCATATTTATGTTCAAGAAATGAAAATCAGACTTTTTCTTATTCTGTCAAGATTGCAGGGGTTGTGACTGTCCTGATATGTTCCCAAAACATTGCCTAATTTGTGTTCCCAAAACATGACACCTCTCAGGCTTTAGGACTGAGTTAGGTTTCCTTTATAATTCTCAAAACATTTTCTAAAGTTTTTTTTTCCCTTTCTGTGGAGTGCCTGATTTTGTATACTCCATGTATGCAGCCCCTCTCATTTTTTCCTCTTGGTCAGTGCCTAATGTAACCTTAATATATTATTTCTGGTGAAAAATATAACGTAGTAAGAAGAAAGGATGATTGTAATACATTAGCCATAATGAGTAGATATGCCCACCATTGTTTAACTTTTTGTAATGAATTACCAATGAAGAGTGAAAAAATAACTGTTTTAAAGTGTTTTTAATTGATTTTTCAATTATTCTGAGATCGCAGAAATGAGTCTGCATTTTGTCCTACATGTGGGGTTAGTTCTCCTAGGACAGGGGTGGCGAACCTTTTTACACCAACGTATCGATTTTTCTATAAAAAAAATTGTTTAATGAGGTCATAGACGTGCCTTCGAATAATTTTGACTTTGTGATTATTGAGAAAATAATACTAAATACTATCAACTCAAAACTCTATTTTCATTGAAAACATTTACATTTTGCCATGTCTTAAAACAACTTAAAGTAACATCAGTGTGACTTCTGTTGCAGATTAGATGACAAATAACTTATATTAAGTTGTAAGATGTTAGTTTAAGCAGAACTGTTATTATTTTATTTTTTTTGCTAGTTATTTGTTTTTAGCTTGTTTTTTATAGTCATTAATTGTTTTTTTAGCATAATTTTGTTAATTTTTTATTAATAATTGTTTATTATTTTGTCTGTTTTTGTTAATTTTAATTTAGTTTTGTTACATATGCTTCATAGTGTAATAACAATTGAGATCGGTAGCGTGCCCAAAATATTTCGTCTCGTGCCATTGGTTCGCCATCCCTGTCCTAGGACAATGTGAAATTATAAAACATGAAAATTATCCATAGCAACAAAATGTTGCAGCCATTACAATTAGGAAAGTTGAGAGCTGACTCCTTGTGCAAAGGTTTTAAGTACAATAGCACATAAGTATATAAGGTTTTTATAAGTATGAGCACAATAGTTAATACAGGATCACAGCCTATTTGTGCATTTGATCATGCAACGCGTATATTCAAAACTAATTTCCTAACATGAACATTGACAAAAACTATGGTTGTTGACTAATGCAGATTACAGCCTTAATAGGAGAGGTGGCAAAATTGGAAACAACAAACATATTAGATGCATTTAAACAAGTTTTTCTTTCCTGAGGCAGTAACAAGAAATATTTAAACCCTCTACCAGTTTTTTTTTTTTTTTTTTTTTTTTTTTTTTTTTTTTTTTTTTTTTTTTTTTNTGATTTACCTCTTATGAAGACAAATAATCAAATTTGGTCTATTCTATTACGACCACAAGTCATTTTTAAATGATAAAATAAAATATTACGGAGTTAGCAAGCAAAAATTAAAATATAATTTTGCTATTATAGGTTTGATACTAAATTGCTAATAAAGAAATGAAAAATAATTAAATAAAAAAAGCAATTGACGATAATTTTAATTCTGAGATCCAAAACATTTAAATGTACGATGACTTTCGTGGGGTAACATTTTTGTTACTATTTGATTAAAAAATTAACTTTTGCTTTGTTTTTAAAATATTCTGTGCAGTTTTGCTAAGAATGGATTATACATCTTATTATCAAATACCCATTGTGAAATATTCATTTTAATTATTGAATTTTTATTTCCTATTTCAGTATAAGTTGTGAGTGAGCACTTTTGGGCGCCACTGTAATTATTAAAAATTATTGATATATAATCACCTGAAATGGTTTTCTTTTCCTTAATGAAAATATATTAAACAATACTTATCCAAGGTTTTATTGGTTATTCTGATTTTGTTATTTTGTAGGTACACTTTGAGCAAATACTACTTAAAGTAACACATTAAGTTCAATAAAAATTATTCAATTTTTAAAATTATTCAATAAAAACAATATATTCTGCAACATCCTACACTTTATAAGAAAAAAGGAAAAAAAACACAAACCTGGAAATTTTACGATTTTTACCTGGAAAAATCAGGGAAATTTGAAATCTGTTTTGAGTGGCCACCCTGATTTACATTTTGCCGTGTCTTAAAACAACTTAAAGTAACATCAGTGTGACTTCTGTTGTTGCAGATTAGATGACAAATAACTTATATTAAGTTGTAAGATGTTGGTTTAAGCAGAACTGTTATTATTTTTTTTTGCTAGTTATTTATTTTTACCTTGTTTTTTATAGTCATTAATTGTTTTTTTAGCATAATTTTGTTAATTTTTTATTAATAATTGTTTACTATTTTGCCTGTTTTTGTTAATTTTAATTTAGTTTTGTTACATATGCTTCATAGTGTAATAACAATTGAGATCGGTAGCGTGCCCAAAATATTTCGTCTCGTGCCATTGGTTCGCCATCCCTGTCCTAGGACAATGTGAAATTATAAAACATGAAAATTATCCATAGCAACAAAATGTTGCAGCCATTACAATTAGGAAAGTTGAGAGCTGACTCCTTGTGCAAAGGTTTTAAGTACAATAGCACATAAGTATATAAGGTTTTTATAAATATGAGCACAATAGTTAATACATGATCACAGCCTATTTGTGCATTTGATCATGCAACGCGTATATTCAAAACTAATTTCCTAACATGAACATTGACAAAAACTATGGTTGTTGACTAATGCAGATTACAGCCTTAATAGGAGAGGTGGCAAAATTGGAAACAACAAACATATTAGATGCATTTAAACAAGTTTTTCTTTCCTGAGGCAGTAACAAGAAATATTTAAACCCTCTACCAGTTTTTTTTTTTTTTTTTTTTTTTTTTTTTGTTTAATTGAGAATTTCTTAATGACAATATTTTCTACCTGCCTGATTTTTTAACAACCATAGGTTTTTATGTTCCATCACAGTTAATGGACAAAAATTAGAAGGTGTTGGTGCATTATGGAATTACTTTGTCCATGGCTGTAGATGTCACTTGCTTAATTTAGCAGCTAAAAATGTATGAGTGTATTTGTAAGCATAGAAGACTATTGTTGAATTATACTTTTTATTTTTGCAAAAGTTTTAATAAACCAATTTTTAATGCTAAGTTGCTATCTCAAGTGCCCAAAATCAATATTTTTAGGAGTTTACTTTTATGGGCATTTAAGATATGTTAATGAAGTTTAATAAACTTGTTTTAAATTTTGATTTTTTTTCTCTGGTGAATCATTGAAAGAGTTGGTGTTCATACATTACTAAAAAGTTTTGTTAAATGATATACTGTAAAAGAGCACATTTTGTTTTGAGGTAAGGAGTATCTTTTAATAGATAAATTCATTGAATATTAATAAACTTTTCTCTGCTTAGGTTCTGATAGGACGTTAGTATTTGTTGAACAAAAAAGAACTGCAGATTTTATTGCCTCATTACTTTCTCAAAGTGAAATTCCAACTACTAGTATTCACGGGTATGTTGTTTTTAATTATCATCCTAATCCAGGGNATTATACCCTTGTCATGTCAAAAACCACTTTTTGACGTCAAAAACCCAACCCTGTCCTAATCATATATTTAATAATTTTCAGTAGTTGAAAACTTATTTTGTTTGATTTCCTCAACTGTTTTAAAAATATTATTGACTATCTTATTTATCTATACAGTTTAACAAATTAATTACAACACTTATCTTTAAAGTAGTTAACAATGAAAGAAATTTTATCCCTCTTTTAGCACTTTACTTTAATTGAGCTGAATTATTTTTTTAAAAAAAATTCTAGTGAATTATCCACAGTGACTTGAAAGTTAATGTGTGTTTCAGGGTTAAATTTTTTGATTATCTCCTGTAAATTTTTGATAATTTAGTTTAAATAAATTAAACTACTTCTGTGCTAAAATTTTTTTTGGAAATCTTGAGGTTATTTAAAGCAACTAAAATGTTCTTTATGCACTGGTAAAGAAATGTTTTTTTTTATATAATGAGCAGGGCTAAGTTTTTAAATTATCTGCTACACTTATGAAAGTTCTAATCTCTAATTTTTTTTTTTTAATTCTAAAATTAAATGCCTAAGAAATATAGGCTATGAGAGTTCCTTTATTGATCACATACTTTTTTTTTTCTGAGCCTGGCCAAGAAAAATAATAAATTCTGAGGTAGACTATTTAAATGCATACAAATGAGGAATGATTTAACGATGGAAAATAGTAGGGTTGCGGGGAAAAAATGTCACATATAAAGAAACTGACATTCAAAGATTTTATAATAGTGAACTGTTATTTAATATTTCTAAAAAAAAACTCCGAAAATTGTTTCTTTTGTTCACATATTTTCGCCCTTTTCTTTTTCCAATTGCATGAAAGCTTTTATTTCTATTAGCTCTGGTATCGGTGATATGAATCACACTATAATGTGAGTACATAATATAGATGCATGCTTTATTTTACAGTGATAGACTACAACGTGAAAGAGAAGAAGCTTTGCGAGACTTCAGATGTGGAAAAATGCCAGTATTGGTTGCCACTGCTGTTGCAGCTCGTGGTCTTGATATTAGGGATGTTAGACATGTGATAAATTATGATCTACCAAAGACAATCGATGAATATGTTCATAGAATTGGACGAACAGGCAGAGTTGGGAATCTTGGTAAAGCAACCAGTTTTTATGATCCAGAAGCAGATAGGGATTTAGTGAGATCTTTGAAGAAAATTTTAATTGATGTAAGTAGTTTAGTCTAACAAACTCTACCTAAGTTTTCAGATATTGCTGACTATGAGATCAATGTAGCTGTCAATCTAGATTTGTGGCAGTGAGAGCTATTTCTAGTTCTACCCTTATATATATATATATNTGTATACCTTTTGGCAGTGTTGTAAGCATAATTCACCTTAGTTACACTTCAAAATTTTATGTTCTATTTTAGCTTTTTACTTCTATTAGAGTAGTTCAAGGTATTCTGAAAGAGTTTGTTTTTTCTTTGCTCATCAAGGTATAGGTAACCTTAAATCTGTCCACTTTACAATTAGCTGCCACTGTTTAAAACATTTAACTAATGGAAATGAAATTTTGATTGACAAATCTAACTCATACATATATACAGTAAAATCTCCAGGAATGACTACCTCTATGTAGCAATCACCTTTAGTTATGTTAACAAAGCTAAGATTAAAATGTTCTCAGATCTTTTTTATACAACCTCATGTTGCTGTCAGAGTGTACTAAAGACTATGGTATGAATGATTTTCTTTTAAGAGCTGAAACTTAAAATAGTTATTTTAGAAAAACAGTCATCTCAAATAAACAAACCTCTTCTCGTCCTTAAAAGCGAACTAATTTTTATGATATGATTGAAGGCAGACTTAAACAAAAAAAACATAATTTGTTTATTTAAAATGGCTTTATCATTCATGATTGGTAAATTTGTTTTATACATATAATTATATCGGTTGGGATAATTTTTATAGACGCTACATTTTATTCATGATCTTTTCATGACGCCAAGAGAATGACAGACTAAAATTTAAAGCATTTGTGAAAAATCATGCATTTTCAATAGCAATTTTTGAAGTCAATGGAAGTAACTTTTAAGAAAGACCAAATATACCATGGAATGCTGAGTGGTCACTCCAGAGAGATTTCACTGTATATATACATATAGAAAGAGAGATAGTTTAATTATACCATATTCAACTAATTTTGTGCCTTTACTTGTGTCTAAAGGTATTTAAAAAAGCCTCTTTCTGCTATGAAATTAATATTTTCAATCTGTTGGGGATGTTTGTTTGCATTATTCTATTCCATTTTTAAATGAGGACTATTTTTTTTTTTAACTGTAGAAAGCTTAGGCAAATGTTTTGCTGAAAAGAAATAATACTGTAATTTCTCCTCTCAATATCATTATTTCAAGTGAATTAATTCACTTAGCTCTGGAAGGATTATCATAGATATTATTTGAAAATATTAGTTTAAATGTTGCACCTTCATCTGATTTGCTCCCTACTTATGTTTTCAGGCACAACAAGAAATTCCTGATTGGCTATCAGAAGAGGCTAATAATGCTGGGGATTCTAGTGTACAGTATGGAGGTAGAGGTGGATTTGGCTCACGTGATGTCCGTAACCAGGTATGAAAAATTTAATGTTATTGTCAGTCCGGACTAGATATGTTAGAATTATGTGCAAGGAATTATTCTAGTTGATTAGTATAAAATTAAAGAATTTTTTAAGGTTTTAGCGCAACCCCTGTTTTTCTAAAATTTTATGAATAGAAGATACCATATTGATTCAATATTTTATTTATTTTACCTATTTTCAAAGTAAACAACATGGTTAATATTAGAGGGTAAAAGTACGCACTTAGTTTATACAAAATTATTGTTGTAAGTTTGATTTATCGAAATGTCTGAAATTGGTCTTGAGAAAAGTTGTACCTATGCAAGGCATTTGTTTGATTAATTCAAAGTTTGTCTATGTGTAAGACTCCAATAGATTTGGAGTCTTTTCTTTGTTGGTGCATCTTATGGCTCTCTGTCCAGTTTGTTCCACAGAACTTTGTATGGTGATAGCTCAACACTGTGGTGGCTACTCCACTTTTGTAATGGTGTCCGCTCTGTCAATGCTTTCAGAATATGTGCTTTATGCTTTTGATCATTATTGTGTTGGAAAGCGAACTCTCCCAAAACTGCGTTTCTGATGGGATGAATGCCCCTATTGAAATATTCTAATAAATTTTTTGGTTGGTTACTCTGCTGATTCTAATTTACTTGCAATCTGCAATATATTCTTGCACTGTGTCATTGCCTTTTTGTGCTTTACTGCAGACACTGCTGAATTAACATCGAAGCCCTTGTTAGAGCAGTGCCGTACAAAAAGTGTAATACTGGAAACCAAAACGTTTTAATTTGTTGATCCAGAAAACACATCTTTCATTGTCTTTCAAACTGGTCTCTCTTCAGTCTGTTTTCCCTATTTTAAGGTTTGCTGCTCGAAAGAGTGGTTCCTTTACTGCTTTCCTGTCCCGTAGACCATAAGTTTCCAAGTGCCAGACCTTCATCCTGTTTACTGAATGGAAGCGGATCTTCTCTTGCTACTTCTGGAGCTAGTTTACGTTTGCTTATAGCCACAATAAAGTTGCCCTCATTATTTTTGGATAACCATTTTTCTTGAAATATTTTTGCCAGTTAGTTGCTATCTTTCTATTGTTTAAAGTACTGTGTCAACATATTTCAGATGACACTGAGCAGTTTCATATCTGGAATAGCTCTCTTGGAAAAGAATCAGTTGACCATGTATTTCAACCCTTAATCTGCATTAATCTTAAAATATTTCAAATTTTAAATGTGAATGAGTATTTCAAATGACATTGATTTGTATAAGACTTCAGCTATACATGAATGAACATGAAAAAAAGCAATTTGGTAAAGGCAACATATTTTTAAATTTTGTTAAAGATCATTAGATGTCACGGTGCATTCAAAAAAGTCTGGTTTTCATTTCTATTTGTAGTAGTTTGTATCAGTCTTTAAAAAAACTGTACTGATAAATTTCAGAAAAATAAATTTTAAGAAATTAGACAATCTACAGTAATGATTGACAACTAAACATTATGCATTACTAGTATCTTAACTAAAATTATTTAAAATGTTCAATATATGTGTTATTTGTATTTATAAAAAATGATGTTTTCAGGGACGAGGTCGTAATATGGACTCTAATGCTGCATTCGATAATGGTTTTGGAGGTAATAATCAACAGTCCTTCAGTCAGCCTGCTGAAGCTGATGATGAATGTTGGGATTAGAGATACTGTTTATTGACTATAAAAAATACTTACTCTACTCTTTGTAATATATGTAAAGGAAAAAAGATATTTTCAGTGGAATTTAATTTTTGATTTGTGCAGAAGCATCCTGTGTATTTGGAAGCAGACTGTTGATTCTTTCAGAACTTTTAATTTTGTTATACAAGATTATATATCTTATGAAATGTTGTTGGCATACTTTCATGCTGACTTTTTATTGTAACAAAATGTCTGAATAAATCTGTACTTTAAATGTTCATTTTGGATTGAAGTTATTAAGATTTTTTTTTTGTATCTGCCTGTGCTGAAATTGTTCCACTTCAGTGCAGTAATTTACATTGTTTTAAATGTGTATTCATAGCTTTTTTTTAAGCAATTTTTTGTTTTTGCAAGTAAAAGAAATTTTCAGTTAAATTCTGACTGGCGCTAAGCAGTAAAGTTATCAAGGACTGTCTCCAAGTACCTTATAACAATTCATTATAGCAGATTGAATCGTAGTTCTAAGCAAGTGTGTATTTCATGTTCAAACATTAATCGTTGCTTTTGAGCCGTTTTTATTTTAAATTCACTTCTAGTTTAGACTCACTGCCGATCAAGTTCAGTCAAGTGTTTGATAAATGCGAGGAAAAAATGACTTAAGTGTGATAGGGTTTGATATCTATATTAACACTGAATATAGATTTTACTATGAAGCTATTAAGAAGAGCAATAATTGGGTTTCAGAAGTTAATAGCTTTCTTGATGAAAAATATTTTTTCCTTATTTTTGGCTTTTTGTCCTGATCTTTAATTTTAGTATTTAATTTTTTTTTTTAAACTACAGTTGCAGAGTTTTGAGAAAAAAAATTAATAAGTGCTTAGTGCTTTTTAAAAGCCCTTAAGGGTGCTTTTTTCATTTGTGGTGATATATTTTTTTGATATATATATATATATTTTTTTTTACTTGTCAATTTTAACGAATTATGCAAAAAAGCATGGTCTTCACATTGTTCTTTTCAACGTGTTCTGAATTCATTCTACCACAATCCATTTTGGCTTACCTTAGATCTGTAGCATACAAGAGCACCAATTATTTTACACGTTTGATTGTGCATGAATTAGGCTGTTCTTGCACTCTCATGCAACTATGCTGCATTTTGCAAGAGATTCTCAATTTTAATTTTTTGCCCTCTGAAATCGAATTGAAAAATGTTGACTTTTTGCTGATTGGGGGACCAACTAAATGTTACCAAATTTTGTACCCAAATTGCAAAAGAAAACTCCCCTTAAAAGAGGAGCGCTTAAGATAACCACTTGCAATCCTTGTTTGAGTACCTCTATTGTATTGGTGTTCAATAGTGTTTCAGGGTGTCTCCTGTGCCATAATGAATTAAACCGTAATTTTTCATTGGGGTATGAGTGAGCTAGAAGAATCGACACATTTTTTTATTTCATTAATAAATACAAGGAACTGAAACAGAACATAATACACAAGTTCTAAATTAATTTAATATTTTTATGTGTAAAAAATATAATTTACCATCAGTTTACTATCCCAAATAATCTTGGGCAAATAAAAGAAAGTTAAATATTAGTGTTTGTATATGTTCACATCTTCAAAGCCTTGAGAAATCATCTGTATTACTTACGCTGGCGAACGTTATTGTTTTACTTTTTTATATGTAAATTCATCAACCATCATATATCAGGGTGCGTAGCGTATTTAAAAAGTGCTTAAAGGTGCTTTTTCGTTTTTTATCAACTCATGAAGGTGCTTTTTTCATGGGGTGTTTTTAAAGTGCTTAATTTTTCCCTTTTTCAAAGTGAGATTTTTCCTTTGTGTTGATTTTCGCTTTGAATTATGCAAAAAGACAGTTCACGTTCTATTCAATGTTTTCATAATTCAACCCCAGTCCATTTCAGTGTATTGTCAGTCCGTAGGGTATGAAAACTCCATTCGTTTTACATGATTCGAAATTTCATGAATTTTGACAATTGTCAAAAACAATGCCAAAAGATTTTTTCTTTTCTTTGACATGACGGATAAGGCAATCAATAGTCAAAAACTTTTTAACCCTGCCTAATTATATATTTTTAACACGTTGAATGCCATGAGAGTCACCGGTGACCGGCACTGAGTTTGTTCATAGCGCCATGGGGGGTACACGGTGACCAGTGAAGCCAAGATTATTAGAAATGACGGGCAAGCCATGTGTTAAAGTGCTGAAAATATTTTTTGTGTGCTTAAAAGGTGCTTATTTTTTGTTGAATAATTTGGCTACATATGCAATTGTACAAAACACGTCTGCAGTCCCACCAATAGCAAATATCGGCAAACTTGAATCAAAGCAGATTATTATTTTTTGCTTCCAGTCGAATAAAAACAAAGAAACGACGAATTCTGCTATGTCCGAGCTTACTCGGGATAATAAATATTTGCAGCGGTTAAGTTACATTATTGAATCATTAAATTTGTTAATGTGCTGACTTAACAAATTAGGGAGAAAAAAAAACGTTTTGAGCACTCTGAGTTTAGAATATTTCTCAGCAGCAACCCAAATTTGTATTTAATTTTTAAACAATTTTCCAATATCACTAATCTTGAAACTTATTAGCGTGCGTGTGCAAGTCAAGTCCATGGAAAAGTCGGTTGTAGATTGCCGAAGATAATAAGAAACAAATTGGTTACTACAATGAATGATCGTGACAAGTATGCTCAAAATCTGATTTAATAAATAATTCAACTATGAAATGGTTGATAGAAATATTCAATGATACAGAGTCTGCTATCTTATACATATATATACAGTACTAGAATCCATCCTCATAGTCATCAAACCCAGAATCTACTAATACTTCTATTTGTCCAACTATTTGCATCTCTTTTTCATTCTTTTCACTTTCTGCTGCTGGTGTGGTTGAAGGTTCTTCAATGGCTCTTGCTGCCTCTTCATCTTCGGATCGCCTTTTGCGCCCTAAATAAACTGGTGTTTGCTTCACTCCCTGTCAAAACAACAAAACGTGTATTGAAATCAATTTATCAAAGTATATTTCATAATTGGTGGTGGCGGAATCATGCTAGGTAGATTTATAAAACGCAGAAAAAAAACTAAAATGTTTTTTTTTTTTCCCCAAGCTGCGTTAGATTATATTTACTATTGTTTTGATTTAACGGAGGATGTTGGCTAGGTAAATTTTTTTAATAAAAAATTAACCAAATAAATGGTTATTACTCAAGCTGCCATGTTAAGACTAACATAGTTCACGCAACTGTGGTGGCTCCGTGGATAGAGTGCTCTACTTCCAATGAGGTGTCCCGGGTTCTAATCCAAGTGTTGTCCAGTCGATACGAATTCTGCACCCGGCTCGCACCGACCACTGTGCTAACGTAAAATCTAAGTGGTAGAAATATGGTTATGGGTTAGAGTCCCCATGTCGTCAGGCTAACAGTGGGAGGTTTCGTGGTTTTCCTCTCCATGTGACGCAATTTTCGGTTAGTTCTATCAAAGTCTTCCACGAAGGCAAATTTCCTTGTCTTCTGGATTGGGTTCAAAATTACAAGGCTACGGAGTTGGACATTGTTTAACGACGGTTATAAAATTTCATATAATAGAGACAATCAGGCTCAGTAGATTGAGAGCTTGTCTTCCAATGAGGTGCCTCTGGTTCGAATCCTAGCGAGAGCTAGTTAGATATTACGTTTCCAAGTTCGCTTTGACAAAAAGTACCCTCAGTAGTAGACGGATCATGGGTTTTAGTCCCTTTGCCGTCTGGCTAACCGTGAAAGGTTTTCGCTATTTTTTCTCTCCATGTATTGCAAATGCAGGTTAGTTCCATAAAAAAAAAGTCTTCCATGAAGACAAATTTCTCCCAATACTTGATCCAGGAGTACCCTCGTCTCCGGATTAGGTTCAAGATTGGGTCGGCTGTTCAACGACAGTTGTGAAATAAAAATAAAAAATTAAATAAAACATAGTTTACGAGAAAGAAAGTGCATTTGTTTGTTCGCTAACTTAAATGTTTTGGAAACGATCTTATTAATAAAAGAGTTATTTAATACGCATACAGCCGGCGGTAGCTTAGAAAGCAAAACTAATCGCTTCGAAGCGCTCTCCATTTTTCAGCTACCACTATCCTTTAAGCAACAAAGAGAGTTACTCCACTGTACTCAGTCATCCTCTTCAATGAGAAAAAACTGAAAGAGGCCGCAGTTGTTTCTGCGAGGTAAAAATATTAGTAAGTCAATGGATCAAGAAACTTTTATTTTTGAAGATCAAATCTCAATAGAAGTTTCAACATAAAGGTATCTTGTGATAATAATATTTTTTTTTATGAACGTTTAGCCGATTCACATTAAAGGATGCCGCAAACCACTAAAAAAGAAGGGAAAATGTTTATAAGGTGTCTGTTTGTACGAAGGAGCAACAATGGCTAAGTGGTTAAGACAGTAGGCTGTCATTGTTAAGAGCTGGGGTTCGATCCTCAGTGGCGACTTGAAGTCCACCCACCTTCAGATCTATGGGCACCAGCTTGCCTGGGAAGAAAAGGCTGCCTGTGCGCAGTGCCAACAACCCCGCCTGGCCCATTACACGCAGTTGAGGGGATGCTTTTTTTATTTGTATTAAAAGGATGATACTCCGCTACCTTGTGATGCAATTTCTTCCCGTTATCAAGATAGAAAAGTAACTTCACAGTTTACCATTAGGAAGAGCAGTAGGAATCATATCTTGTAAAAGCATAGCCACTTTACTATATTTGGACTCTACTCCATATTAATTAATAATGCTTAATAGTGCAGCATTTAAGACTATAATGATGACACCGTTTATGCATTTTTTTTTGTTTAATTGAGTCAGAGAGAGAATTTTTACCTAAGTAAAACTTCACGTAATATTTTAGAATATTTTATGGTTTTTGCATTATATGGCACGAGCCTTCCTGCGAAACGAAGGTACAAAAGTTAAAAAATAATAAAAAGTAAATATATGCCTCTCAATGTAGACTTTGTTGTAGTATATTTTTCACTTTTTGTATAAAGTTGATTTTTACAACCACTATTTAAATTTAACATATATATACACAGTACAAAAACGAATTAAGCACACATTAACAGCATAGTACTTTAAAACAAATTAGAGTTTTTCTTAGATTTGGGTTGATATTAATATAATGATTTTGGGCTACTGGAAAAAAAATTAAATGACTAAATTTAAAAATATAACTAAAAAATTATCTAATGAACAAAAAATTACTTTTTTATAATTAATTTAACTTTTTATGAAAAATATGAATGCTGATTTTTTTTTAACTCTTATTTATTTGTTCTTGATTTGAGAAACAGAAGGAATTTAAACTTTCTTTTTTTTTATACTTACATCTTGACATCGTTGTATCATACATTGAGCTTGTGCTGGTGTCATATTTCTAGGAAATGCTGTCTGTTATAAAAAAAAAAATTAAAATTACAAAAAATGAATTGCGCACATGGAAATAAAATATATTGAATGGATTTCTGGAGCATTGAATGTCTTAAAAACTTGTTATGTGTGAATGCTATGTTTTTTTTACTTAAGAATTTAAACAGTTACAGAGAAATGCATTAATGGTTGAACAATTTTTAAACATTCAATTAAATATAGTATTATGAAACTTTAAAATTAATAATAATTAAAATAATAAACTCACCGTTCCAAAACAGCTGAAAGACTGAAAATAAAAATAATATACGGAATTAAATACGTACTCGATTTCAATTTCATGAATTAAAAGTTCATTGAATATAGAATATAAAGTAGTTATTATTCTAAGAATTTTTGATAGTATGTGAAGAGAAATAGTGAATCAAAAATAATAAAAAATAAAGCCGTGACAAGTTTCTGATTAAATACTCAATCGTTAAAAAGGTATATCTCCTCTTGTTTTTGCAGCAGACACAGTCTGTCACAGCTTCGATCTCATGTTACACGCAATGTTATTGTACTCGATGTTATCGATTGATAATTCTGGAAGCATTATCAAAATATTTCATTCTATCAATAACACCACAGTATTATCGTATTCAACCTTTATCGTTATAGATAACAATCGTGATAAAATCGTTACCGATAATGCTAGCTAATTAAGATCTTTATCGTTGTCGATAACGCTCGCAATATAATGGCATTCAATCTTTATCGTGACGGATAATAATCATGATATTATCAATATCATATATTAAATAATATTTTTAATATCATAATACAGCATTATTGGATATTAAACATTTTTCGTTATCTAGGGTGATCGTGATATGATTGTTATCGTTAATTATCGTATATTTATGGCAAGACATAGTATTTGCGATTTATTGTAAGAATGTATTTAGAAATATTGTTCTCACGATATTAAACAAATCGATATTAATAAACGTATATCACTATTAAACATATTTGGACTTTCATGTTTAGCCCGGCGACAAAGGCACTCTCATGATTTGTACATTATTACGGATATTTTATTCAAGCTGCTTTTGTTAGAATCAGCTTTTAAACACAGTTCAGTTGGCACAGTTGAGATTTGCATGTGTCTATAGAAAAGGTTCGAGATCACTTATATACTTAGCCTATAGAATTTTATATTAGAAGCGGGCCTTCTATTTCCTGGGTCTAGACCTGAAGATTTAAATTTTCAGTTAGTAGCCAGTGGCTGAAATTTGTAGCCACTTTTTCCTCAAACCCAATGAGTCGGTCACCGATATCGATAGGTTCTTTTTATTTTAATTGCCACTTTAAGCAAACTTTTTCCTTTGCTTGGATAAAATTATAATTAAAAAAAAAATCCTCTTAGAAATTGTCTATGGCTATAAAAGTTAACTTAATAATAAAAGCAATATAAATATGCGACAAAATTTAGTTAAGGTAGGTAGGTACTTTATTTACATCGCACTTGAGCTGCACAATGGGGTAGTGGCGACGGTCTGAGAAACATCCCAGAGGATGATCCGAAGACATGCCATCGCAATTTTGATCCTCTGAAGAGGGGATGTCTCCCCTGCTTCGGTGCCCAACGACCTGCTCACTAATTCAAGCATTTTACGGTAGAACAATTTTACGAGGGCCGATACCGCAAAATTTAGTTAAACATACTGATTTTAGAGAACTTTATTTAAAAATGTTTTAGGAGGTAAAATACTTTTAAGTATGTGTTACTGTGAATGACCGAAATCGGTGGTTGTTGACTTCCTCCGGTGAATGTTGACAATCACATAATCGTTTGGGTGAATGTCCGAAATATATACTAGATCTAGTTAAGGTGCCACTGCCCGGTATACATTTGCCCTGTATGCCCTACATCAATGTTTTTTTAAGGTTCAGTGCCACTGCCCGGTATGCCCTACATCAGTACTTTTTAAGGTCAAGTGCCACTGTCCAGTATGCAATTAGACGATACCCCGAACACTGATGTTTCTCCTAATCTATCCTCAGTAGATATTAAAATATCGAATAAATATAATAATATCATTGAATAAATTAATATCAAATCGAATATAACAAATATCTCGGACATTCACCAATGCGACTATGTGATTGTTGACATTCAGCGGTGAAAGTCGACATTCTCTTGATTTCGGTTATTCAAGGTAACATATGCATTACAAATTTGAAAAATATAAAATGTCAAGGAACACTCCTTCTACAGCTGAGGTCGCCAAAGTGGTCTATATAGACCCCCAGGGGTCCATTTAGCAAAAGCGGGGGTCGATCCGAATCGGAAGGGTCGAGGAAAAAACAGTTCTTAATACGCGAATCGCACATGCCTAATTGAGTATGTAAAATTTGTAAATTTTTTTATGATTGACTTAATATCAGTTTCTTTATCGAACATAAATTAATAAACGTATATTTATTCGGGTGAAACAAGTATTTACGTACCAGTGGCACGAACTCTGCACTTCTTGTTTATAAGTCAATGTGCGCTTGTCCAAATGTCACGTGTGACAAGCATTGACGTTACAAACGCAAATATCATACGCAGTTTCAGTAATCCTAGCAAACTGTGTTGAATATTTGTAGTGTCATTATTAAAACTTTTATATATATACAAGTTATCTTCATAAGTTGAGCGACGATTTTAAACTGCGCTATGTTGATTTGGAAAACATTGACATCCCTGGTTGGATTATTGTGCCATTTTCTGCTCAAATTGAAAACGTCGACATCAACGTGCAAGATAAGCTTGCTGAATTATTATCGGATCTTGAAGCAAAGACGCTTTTTAAAAATTTAATAATAATAAAGTTTTGGACAAATATAAATATAATGCAAAAATATGTAAAACTTTACGAAATAGTTCAGCTAGCATGCTACCATTTCCAAGTTCTTATATGGTTGATACCGGTTTCAGTCATGTAAATTCAATCTTAATTAAGTACAGAAATAAATTAAATGTGGAGTTTTGAGGGAATTTAAGATTAAAATTGACCAACTTTGAACCCAATATAGCGAACCTTGCAAAAAAAACACCAGGCACACCCATCTCGTTGATTAAGAAGCAATAAATCTGTAGTTACTTTACTTATTTCTTCATAAAACTATTGTTACACAATGTTTTACTATTACTTTAATAAATGTTTAAAATCATAAAATAAATGTATAAACATAGTATCTAATAGAGTTTTATTTTAATTAACAGAAAATTTCTTTTATGGGGGTCGATGGAGATTTCGAAAAATTATATAGGGGTCGATGATCAAAAAAGTTTGACGACCCATGTTCTACAGGAATCTTTCCATCACAAGTTATTGGATTCTGAAGGATAAAAATTTTGTATGGTGACATTTGATATTTTGATGAAAATTCTGTTTTCCGGAGTCTTTCTGCATTGATGTACTTTTATCATTAAACGATTTAAACAAGGGGAAAAAAAGGATGGGAAAAAGTGACTAGTTGCTTATTTTATTTCAGTCACCACTTTTTTCTGTTGAATTGGAGAATGGTTATTTTCAAGTCTACTTGGGTCACCTTTGTGAAATTTTATTTAATTACCAACTCACTGCATGTGAGGGTTACTTTCACCTCTTCTATTGAGAATAACTGAAAGTTTTGGTCAGAGCGTCAGCTTTTTAAAACAATGAACATTTTACTAACGATGATGATGAGTTGTGTAATTCGAATTCGCTTGTTTAAATTTAAGTGGTTACTTGCGCTCCAAGAAGAAGAAGCCGACCAATACCCACGCATGTGATCTATGACGTCAACACCAGCTAATCTTCATCAGCAATATGGAGTATTAAAGTTAAGCTAAGTTTCTCTTGAAATTTTAATAAACGTTAAGTTAATTAAATGCAGAACGGTATAGCACATCGAAGTTGTTGAAATATAATTCTTTATGGTCTACTTATTTTACTTAACTTAGATTTATTATTTGTTAATGTATTTTATTGTAACCGTGATATATTTTTGTTTTGTATTCCTGGAAACTTCGATGCACAATAAGTTTGTTTATATTCTACATGGTTTTGTGCCTGCTTTTGTGTTAAGTCTTTGAGTAAATATATAGTGGTGGAATTGAAATCTTTATGAAAGAATATAGGCTGTGTTACTCAAGAGAATTGGTACTTGACAGGCTTGGCTTACTCGAAATAGAATGAAAAGAACAGTTGCTAACGTAAACAAATGCCACGTTTCAACAACCAATCAGGATCGAGATACCCACACTACGTCACTTGCATTGATTGAAATAAATCTCAAAGTANATCCAAAAAAAAAAAAAAAATAGTTTAATATTTTTCTGTAACTAACTAATTAGTTTTACCTCAAATTCCTAATCAATGCATTAATTAGTATACATAACAGGTTAAAATTAACTAATAAAATGAATATACTTACATATCCTTGTAGTGCTAGAAAAGGGCAATTGACGCATTGACTCTAAAAAAACAGAAACAACGTATTTTTTCTTTTAAATCAATATATTTCTAGTGAAGAAATAAAGTAAGAAATTAATACTTACCGGTACAAATGTACTGGTTGATTGATAACAAATGCGATACACCTAAAGAAAAATTAAAATATTCACATAATGATGTAGTTAAAATTTTAAGCATCATATGGCATCTGGCAGAAGAACAAGAAAAAATAAATCTCATAAACAAATCTCATTAAACGTAAAATTGTACCGTTGCCTCTCGTAACATTGTATTTTGCAATAAAAAATTATTAAAATAGATAGCTACTATCATAATGTAAAATAGTAAACAGTAATACTCTTTACATCGCATTTGTCATTGAAACTAAAAATAATTATTAAAAATAAATAGCTTCTTTCCCAATGTAAAATAGTTAGATGTAATCCTGTTTACATTGCATTTGACAGATGTACAATAAATAAGTCATTAAAAGTAGATAGCTGCTATCATAAAGTAAAATTGTATATTGTAACACTTGTTACATCACATTTAACAATACAAAAGAGTATTTAAAGTAAGTGACTATTATCATAAAGTATAATAGTTCAGTAACCCTTCCTTATATTGCAATAGCTTAGACAGACGGACAATAAATATTATTAAAAATAGATAGCTTTTTATAAAGTAAAATTCTTTATTATATAAATAAAGAATTATTAAAAATAGATAGTTTCTTTCCCAACGTAAAATAGTTAACTGAAATCCTGTTTACATAGTATTTGACAAGGGTTCAATAAATAAATCATTAAAAGTAGATTGATTTTATCATAGATGCTATCATAAAGTAAACTGTAACACTTATTACATCGTATTTAACAAAACGAAAATTATTTAAAATGAATAGCTAATATCATAAATTATAATAGTGCAGTAACTTTTTATCATATTTCATTGAATAGACTGACGAGAAATATAAGTAGAAGTGACAATTCGTTCACTCATACTGTTGTGAGGTGCTGGCTAGTCGTCCAAATAGTAAAGCAAGTTCGGTTTGACGTTCCAGATATGTTTTAAGAGAATAAGATCTGGAGACCTGGCTGGCCATTCAATCCAGCGAAAATTCTCATTCTCCAGAAAATCATCTACATCTACAAGATACTCATTGTATCGTCATATTTTCATCCATTGAAATGAACAAGGCCCCCAGCACCAAAAAGTTTTAAACATAAGGCTCTATAACACTTATTTGTTATACCTCATACTATTTAAAGTATCTCTTTGAGGTCCTTGGAGGGATCTGCAAACATTTAAAACATGAACATTAAAAAAAGCAGTCTGGAAGTAGAAGTAGCAATTCGTTCACTCATTGTTGTCAGGAACTGGTCAGTCGTCCAAAGAGTAAAACAAGTTCGGTTTGCTTTACGCAGTAAGTTCTGGATATGTTTTGAAAGTAAAAGGTCTGGAGACTTGACTGGCCAATCAATCTAGCGAAAATTCTCATTATCCAGAAATTCATTTAAAAGATGCTCCATCGAAATGAATGAGGCTTACTGCACCAAGAAATATGCTCTATAACACTTATTTCTTATACCTCATGCCATTTAAAATGTCTCTTTTAAGCCCTTAGAGGGATCTGCTAACATTTAAAGCATGAAGATAAGTAGGAACTGATATTTCTGATTTAAAACGACGGCTACAAAGACCATTATAGAAGTGAAGGTTTGATGGTCGGGACATGCATTATTATAAATAGCTGCACATCTTGCTATGTCATTTTAAGATGGATATTGGCTATAATGATGAAGGGGGGGGGGTGAAGTATTGAGCTCTATATGCCAGCTATTTTTTGTGTACTTTGATTTCATTTTGACGGATGACAACATCGAACTCTTCCGGTCGACGATTTTCTGAACTGTAAAAATGACCAAACCAGAGGAGATGGTCAACTGGAACGTTAGTCAGGGTTGTTCTGGAAAGAGCAAATAGACTTCGCGACCTTTAAACAATCCTCCAGATTATTGAAATATACTTTCCTCGCCGGATGCGATATAACACTGTTTCTAAATCATGGAAACAGCGTAATATCTCATCTGCCGAGGCACAAAGGATGTTACAATGTCAGCATAAAATAACGAAGGCAAAAGTTTTTGGAGAGTGCGATTAATATCCACATGATTTACGGATAATGGTCAGTGTAATATAACAAATGGATTATAGGAAATCACGATGTAGGATTTTGTTTCTAATTGAAATGAATCGCAAGCAATCTTCTCTGATGTTTGGTTGTAAGTTAGGAGGAGTATGTGTCTGATAATGTGCCTCGAAAAATCAAATGTCGGATAATTAGGATTCAAATAACTTTACCTCACAATATACAGGATGTATGATTATCCTGTATATCCAATGCGAGTGAATTTCAATAGAAATGAAGTTGCAATACTCACCACCAAAGGGATGAAAATACTATCAGTAAAAGATAGAATAGCTACTGAAACTAGAGTCCATTTCAAAATATTGATTTTCCGGGATTCCATTCTCAACCTAAAAGAATTAATATAGATTATGTGAGCAGGATGTTCAGTAAAAACCACCCTTAATATGTAATTTTTGAATTCTTATTAAAAATGAAAACTAAAAGTAAATACATTGAGGGATTCAAATTAATATTAAAGTGATGAAAAAAAATAATTTTCGAAATCTAGCAAATCGCAGAACAGGAGTGCGAATGTAATAAACAACAAAAACAGATTTGATTGCGTGAAGAAGCAGTAAGGAGTTGCAAAATGTTTATTAGAAACACCTTCAAGTTTCAACTTCCAATTTAACTTATTTTAATGTTTATTGCTTCTACTTTTCCTTACTGCGATTTGTCAAATTTGATTTCAATAATGCTTTTCTTCCCTCGTTTAAATATTAATTTGCGACTCCTATACTTTTTGATTTCATATTTGATAAGGATTCTAAAAATGCAAATTGATAGTGGTCCTTACGGAACACCGTGAAGAATATATGAATTCTGCTTTCATGAACGCCGAATCTCGAGAATTTTCATTTTATTATTTATTTATTTATTTTAGTGTGTTAGCTGGATTTTATCAACTTAAATCAGTACTATTTAGATCCATACGACGCATAAAATATTCAACTATAAAATATATATAGAAAACCTAATAGTCATAGCGTGCATTTAGCCGTTCGAGGCTATAGGTATGAATAATCGTATCACGCATACGCAATCGAATCCGGACTTTCTCTTTTCCCGCTCGGGAAGAAAGTTCAGACGCATGTTCTGTATTATAAATTAAATTAAATGTTGTAAATTGTTAATAACTCGTGCCTGGTAAATATAAGAATATTTACTTCTACCCGTAAAAGGAACAGCACAATGCCAATTTAAAGAGAAAGTAAAATTAAACAATATTCTGCATATAATTGCCAATATCGTTGTTACTACTACAACTTCAGCCATTTACAAAAAAAAATTTTTTTTTGCAAGCTGGCAGCTAGAAGGATTTCATGACTTCTATACTTCACCTCTTAGCCAAAGAATACGTGATTGCTATTTTCATGAGCCTTTATTTTATTTTAACCCTTTTCTGTCGCAATGAATCTATGATCATTTATTCAAAAATATTGCTCCCCTCATGTAAAATAATTTGCCTCTAGTCTTCCATAAAAGACGATTTTTTTAATAAAAGACGATTTTTTTTATAGTGAATAAATATTTTATTGACTCATAAATTGTTCCTTTGCAATCTTTCTAACAGTAGCATGATTTCACACGCATAAAAGTTCTGTTCTTTGCTGTTAAAAAACAGTCAGGTGATTTTTGACCTCTTTACTTAAGGGGAGTAGATAGGGCATATATCAATAATGCTAAAACTGACCTTTTTCGATGAATCTTTTCTAAGAAACTACTTATGATGATATCGCTTCGAAATTTTTTGGGGATAATTGAGATTATATCAGTTGTATTTTGTGATAAAGTTTTGGCTTTAAAAGGAATATTTTTGGAGTTATAAAAGATTTTTTTGCTGAAACGTGGTCAAAAACTCGCTAAAAGTTCTCAGTTCATAATTTCTTAAAACAATGTCTCTAAAGATATGTATTAACAATCATCACAGTGTAAACATGTATATGTAAATATTCTGTGAAAAAAAAACTGAAGCAATAACTTGTTCAGATGCTGAGAAAAGGTACATTGAAAAAGGTCAGTTTTAGCATTATTGGTACATGCCCTACCGAGTCCTCTCAAAGTAAATGTTTTACCGTCTAAAAATTCTGTAGGAAGCGCAACATAGTTGTAGACGATCAGCTTCTCCTCCCCAGCCTCAGATGATGCGTTTTAAAAATGGATATTTTTCTTGCCATTCGAGAAGCATAATACAAACGACAACACGACGGAACTAATTTCATTCTAAGAACACGAGAAATCCATCCTTAAAGATTAAAACTTAGGCTTTTCAAATGATCACGTATAGTCGAATTCGATAAATTTAATGCCTCAGCGATCTCATGAGTTGTTATCCGTCGGTTTGCATCAATTATTGCCCTTATTGCGTCTTCATTAGTTAAACTGGCGTGGAGCATCATCCTGCATCTTAATCGAAATTTTCCCCGAGTAGAAATTCTGTAGACCAGTTTTGACGCTGTCGTACTGCCAATAAATCTTCTCCACGACACAATGGAAATTTTTTTTCTTGCTCGAACAGCATTTTTGCCTCTTCAGTAGCAAAAAAGTAAGATATTTCGAAAAATTCTGCTTTTCACTTTCCATTTTTGATTAAACACCAACCAAAAACTACTGCGTAGAGTCAATCGAACTTTTTCACAAGCAAGTCTTGCTATATCAGATGTCAAAATATATCATGATTATGCGGATTAAGTATGAAGTTCTCTGTTGGGAAAAAACGAAATTACTTTCCGAACAACTCAATATATATATAGTCGCCGTATGCAGGTCGCCGGTCACACGAAGTCGAGCACTTTACGGTAGAACAGTTTAACGAGGACCAAAAACCGCACACCCTTTGTCCCTACGCAGACTGATCCAAGTGGTCACCCACCCACGTGGAAGAAGAGTTCTTTAACAACTTACATATTTCAAAGTTGTAATGTATACTTTAAATGTATTCTACCTAAGAAATATTTTCTAGTTCTTCAGTATGTGTAACTAAATTTTCTCAGATATTTCACATGCAAACATTTAGTTTGTAATCAAGTTCGTTCCACTCAATAAGTTGTTGCCAGTGGCGTAGCGAGCTTAACTCGCGCCCGGGGCACAATACCCTTTTAGCGCCCCCTATTCAAAAACCATATAATATTATATGCAAAATATACTCGCAAATTAATAATACATATGATTAATAATCATATGATTATAATACATTAATAAAACTAATTACTATCTCTAAATTTTTCGTGCTTTTGATGAAGCAAATGTATCAATAATATCATCAAAATTGTTCATTTAAAATTTTTCTTTTTCCACACTTAAAAATGCTAGGTCACTTAGGCGATCTGTCAAAATTAATTTTAATTTGCTGAATGAACGTTCGCAGCTAGCAATTGATACTGAGATAGTCAGGAGTATTTGAAATGCCGCTCTCAGATTTGGAAAAACATCTTCTCCATTCGAGATTGATTATAAAAGTAAGAAATTCTAATGGAGTTTTAGGTTTAATTTCTTTTCTACTGCTGAGTAACATTTTGCTGTCACATATTTTGATAAAAAAGTTCTATTACATTGAAATCTGTATTATAAAATTCTCCCAGATTTTTAAAATTTTTTTTCAAGGTCGTTATC